AGCTGTTGTTTGTTTATAGCTCTCTTCAATGGCAGGAACACGAATTTAGGTGCCCTCCAGTCAGCGTTAACTTGCATTTATTTTATCTTGTTCTTCCGAGATTTAGGAGTTTCTCGCAAGATAACAATTCCACAATGGTCGACATTCAGCTGAAAATTGCAGCTTTCTGATTGAAACTGAATTAAAAGATCCTCAAATGGTTGGAGCCTTCTAATCCAGTGGTAACCACCTCGATCTTTTTGAAAGTTGGGTGTGGAGACAATACCAACATACATTTATACATTGCCTTTACTGTAGTGAAAGGTCCCAAGATATTTAATAGTTTAGTGAGATCAGATGTAGAGAGGGGAGAATCTGTCTTCAAATTGAACAGAAACCTTTTTTAATATCTTTTTTACACTATATGTGTAAGGGTGTGGGTAAATGTATCCATAATTCCCACTCCTGTCAGAATCCATTAAAATATCTGTGTAGGTATTTGGTAAAAGTAGATTAGGGTTGGTCCCAATTTTTTTTAAAGTCTTTCCCCAACCCTCACTTCAATCATATGGTCCATTAACACACTCTTGTGCCCAACCTTTTGTGCAGAATGAAAGCCTTGTCATTAGGGTGGCTGAATTGAATACCTGTGAAACTATATACCAGCATAAAACATCATCCTCCAGGGGGGATGTGGCGCGTGTATTGGTCAGAGAAACAGCAATTTAAATTGAACAGTTATCACAAGCACTCTATTTTCCCAACTCCTCCACCCCCGCCACCTTTTTTTTTAAGTCATGGAAAGAAAAACTTGCAGACTCTTTTTGAACATGGTACAGCTCCACTGCTGATTATTATTTGCACATGGTGTTACATCTGTCACCTGAAATGTCAGAGCCTATGAAGTGATAATTGTTCCTGTATTGTAAAATGTTTTACTTGTGCTTGATCGCTCTTCATTTACAAAGGTATTTTAGGAGTCTGAACAGAGAGGCTTTGCTAAATCTTACTGTGATTTTTCTTACTTAAGATATCAGCCTGGGAAATTTCTCTTCATTTGTCCTATTCTAACTGGCTGTCCTTTGCCAAACCACTGGATTATGTGAGGAGCAGGAATTTTGGTATCAGCACTAATTCCAATGCCTGTGGACTGGCGTTATGTCATAGTAAGACCTGGGAGACTGTAGCATGTGGCTGTGGAATGTTGCATTGAACTGCAGTAAATACTTTAGTCCTGTCCTAGTTTAAAAATGTCTGGAAAATCTTCACAGGCACTTTAAATTTAAACAATAGGTAAACAAAGTCACTGCCTGCTCCATTCACAACTCCAGCAAACAGTGGGGTTTGGGAGATGGTTCAGCAAAACCTCGTCTTGCAAAATCAGTGATTCACAAGCTTTTCAGAAAAGCGATTTTATTGCTGTTTCAATAAAATAGGTAAATGGCAGTTTGAATTTGTGTGTAGGAAGATCAGCACTTTCAAATCACAATATTTTATCTTCTACAGCATTAATTATGCTATTATTAAAAAGCCGCTTGACTAATGGCATTAGATGGAAGCTGTCTTCAGAGTGAGGGTCCATTGGATTGAAATAATTTAGAATAGTTAAGGTGAAACCCGTTCCTCTGGTTTAGATAACTAACGTTAATTCAGTTGTATCTCATGAAGTTTGTGTGTTCTTCCTTGCACATCCTCAGTCTAATAAAATAGGCTGGAGCCTGAAGGGAGTGTATCATTTATGGTCCTGTTGCAGATATGTCTGAATGAACTTGGGAGCCCTGCATGCATGTAATCAGTCTCTGATTTCAGATTCCATTTGTGGCCTGGTATGTACAGTATATTTAGTTTCATGCTGGAATTGCTGTAAAACCTCTGTAATAAAATTCAGAGAGTTTCATAATTGTCAATTTGTTATCTTGAGTAGCATTAAACCAGCCTATAGCATGCAGAGCTTGCTTCGATCTGTTATCATGGAACTCATTCTTCTGTTCTTGCCTAAACTTGCATTTTTGCCTTGAATGGCAGAAGCCTCTACTGAATACTGCTGTACAACTCACTGCCTCACATTTATTCAGCAGCTGGCAACACGGTGGATTTTTTTCATTTTATACCAATGATAAGAGAATCTCTCAAGACTATCAGCAACAAAATGTTAGGGTTCTATGAATTTATGACAAAGCAAGCTCTGTACGTTTGTGCTTTGCACAGGAGAATCATTTGCCTGCTGATTCAGCACTTAACATTTTATTCCATTCCTACACAAACTTCTGAAGAGCTTTACTTCATGCCTTTGAAATTTTTCATGTGACACTCAGTGCAAAGGTCATTTGAGACCAAAAGCTGCAGGAAGTTAGTTTTTTTTTGTTTTAGTGATGTTCTGAGGCATGGAGTGTACTCACTGGCGGCTTTGAAGAAATTTGAAGGTTATATACTTTTCCTAATGATCATAGTTTACTAGTGGAGTTCTGCAGGAGTCTTTTGGAACAACAACTATTTGCACTATACAGTAAAGATCTGGACGAAGGAAATAAGCCATTGTTGCTACATTTGCAGATGACCCAAAAATAGTTGGAGGAGCAGGTAGAGTTGGGGAAGTGGAATCATGCACATAGACTGGGCAGGATAGGAGAGTGGGCAAATAAGTAGTAATGTGGGAAAATGTGAGGTTATACACTTTAAGAATAGAGGCAGAGACTATTTTCTAAACTGTAAAGGATTTGGAGATCTGAAGCACAAAGGGTCTTGGGAGTCCTAGTTCAGGATTTGCTTATGGTTAACAGTTGGTACTTAAAAAGGCAAATGCAATGTTAGCAATTATTTCAAGAAGGCTAGAATACAAGAGCAGACGTGTAGTGCCAAGGCTGTATAAGGCTCTGGTCAGACCATGTTTGGAATATTGTGAGCAGTTTTGGACCTGTATCTAAGGAAGGATGTACTAGCCTTGGAGGGTGTCCAGACAAGGTTTACAAAAGTAATCAACAATGGAGTTTATAAGGGTGACGGGGAATCTGATTGAAACTTGCAGAATACTGAGAGGCCTGGATAGAGTGGATGTGGCGAAGATGTTTTCACAAATAGGAGAGACTAGGACCCGAGGGCACAGCCTCACAGTGAGGGGATGACCCTTTAGAACAGAGATGAGGAATATTTTTTCAGCCACAGGATGTTGAATCTGTGGAACTCACTGTCGCAGAGGGTTGTGGAGGTCAAATCATTCTCTCTAAGACAGGCCCATGATTTAGTAAGGGTATCAAGGGTTACTGGATGTAGGCAAGAGAATGGGGTTGAGAAACACATCAGCCATGATCGAATGGGGAGCAGACTTGATGGCCCAAATGGCCTAGTTGTGCTTCTGTCTTTTACTCTTGTGGTAATGGATGTTTAACTCCCTGTAAATAAAACTGAAGTAGTCAGTACAGGTACAATCCACGTTGAATTAAGCTGCTTGTTCTATCTCTATCTCTTTCTCAATTCTATTGCTCCCTGCACAACAATACAAAACCAGAGGGTATGCTAGTATGCACAAAGCTGTTTGTAGCTTGTGGAGCTGGAGCCTGAGCTACAGACATTATTGCACCTCTGGGATGGGCAAAGTTACCTGGACACTTTTCACCAGAAGGCAGTCACACCCCTCGGACTATGTAATTCAACATTGGCTTATGATCACTGACTGCAATTGTCCAACAGTTAGGTGCTTGTGAGCTGTGCAGACAAGAGTGGGAGTTTGAGCAGACTAGCCATGGCATTGGACTACAGGGAGCCATTCAAGTGAGGGCGGAAGTGGGGATGTAGCTGTGCCAAGGGACAGGATAACTAGGGGGGATATGTACTATTCTCTAGCCATGAGTGGGTGTCCTGAATGCTGTGTTGCCTGTCAATGACATCTCTTTGACTGGAGAAGAACTTAGCAGGGGAGGGGAGGGATCCTGTTGTTGCCAACCATGTTGGACTGGAAAGGACATTCTATTGAGCATTTGAACAGTTAGGAGCTAACTTGAAAAGCGCATTCTCAAAGGTGATGATCTCAGGATTGCTATCTGAGCCATCGACAAGCTGGCATTGGGTAAATATAGTTGGAGTTAAACATGTATCTCGTAGATTAATAGGGGAGATGGTCGATGTGGGGATGTTGTTTTCCGTTTGTAGGTTTTTTTGCTGTAGAAGTTGGATAATTAATTGTATTCAACAATAAGATAGGTGGATTTTAAATCACTAAGTGAATCAAGGGTTATGGGGGAAAAGGCAGAGTTGAGGATTATCAGATCAGCCATGATCTCATTGAATGGTGGAGCAGACTCTGGGTAGAATGGTTTACAATTGCTTTGATATCTTGTGGTCTAATGGTCTCCAGTTGCTTCACTCCTCGCTAACAGAAGGGATACTTTAAACCATGAACAACAACAAAGTTGCTAGAAAAGCTCAGCAGGTCTGGCAGCATCTGTGAAGAAAAATCGGTTAACGTTTCAGGTCTGGTGACCCTTCCTCAGAACTAACTATCCAGTTCTGAGGAGTGGTCACTGGACCCAAAACATTAACTCTGATTTTTCTTCTCAGACGCTGCCAGACCTGCTGAGCTTTTCCAGCAACTTTGTTTTTGTTCCTGATTTACAGCATCCACAGTTCTTTCAGTTTTTATACTATAAGCCATGTTTTGAAAAAACACACTGCATTGTGCTGTCGGGCTTTCTTTTTACATGATGGGACCTGAGCACAAGATTATTCTCATTTCCAGGTTTTTTTCCTGCTACTGAATATTATAGGCAGTCGATCATGCTTGTCAGAAAGATCAGAACTTGTACTATTGTTCTGTGGATTATATTGTGACATAGTGTGTTGTTAGTACAAGTATGTTTCTCCTTTAATATTAAAAATAAAATTAGGTGGTCTTGGCAATGCTTGGTTTTATTATACAGGCAAAGGCGGTATGAAGATTGGAGGCGTTCATGTTTTTAATCACTTGATTAACTAATTTTTTTCTCTCTCTCTCTCTCTCTCTCTCTCTCTCTCTCTCTTTCTCTCAGGTCCGAGAGATCCTTGGCCACTGTACCTGTCCATCACAGTTCCCTATGACAAAAGTATCTGAGGGTAAATATAAAGTCGGTGAGACCAGCACATTGATCTTCATCAGAGTAAGAGCCTTGTGCCATAACCATTTCTAATGTTGTACTTAAACATTTAAGTTTGTAGCAAGTAATTACAAGTATACTACATTAGGCTTGCACCAGCAACAGAGGATGGCAAATAGAAAGCAAAACCACAAATTCTGGCTTTATTTTTCTGTTGCTGCAACACTTAGTCCATTGAGTCTGTGAAATTGTGCATGGCCCAAACCAAGGAATAATGTTTGAATCTTTTAGTCCAAGTATGGATAGTACCCAAGCATTACTCACTGAAGGGAGGTTTTTATAGAGTGGCTATGAATTGTGTACAGTGACAAATTTTGGATTGGAGAGAACTGAGAATTTGCAGTCTCCATGCCCTGTATTATGCAACTACTGAGGTACTGACAAATAAAGTAGCATGGGAAAGCTAAACTTTAGCGCGCACAAACCTTTTTCAGATACATATCAATGGACTTTGTTCATACAAGTCATTCAATGAGGAGCAGTCAGGGCGGCTTTGTCAACACACCAGCAAGTCTCAGCTTGTGACACCCAGCAAGCTCGAAGGCAATCGTTTTTCAAATGTTTGTGGGGGAGCCTTTTTTTTTTCCCCCCCCAAGAAGTATCGTTTCTCCTATAAATACAAGTTAATGCTTTGTAGTTGTGACTTTCCAAGATGCTGCTTGTAGGTGAAGTGAAGCAGAGGCCCCCAAAACCCAGGGGAAAGTGATTGGCTATGTTCACTGAAGTTGGTATTGTATCTGCTTCCTCCACCACTTCTGGCAGCGCATTCCAGGGCACTAACCAACCCCCTGTGTAAACAAAAACTTGCCTGTCACATCTCCTTTAAACTTACCCCCTTTTTACCTTGAACCTCTGTCCCCTAATAATTGGCTTTTCTACCTGGGAATTGGACTCTAACTATCCATTCTATCCATGCGTCTCATAACTTTGTAAACTTTTAACAAGTTGCCCCCTCAACTTCTGATCTTCAAGTGAAAGTAAGTTTGTACAATCTCTCCTTCGTAGCCAATATCCACTTAAACCAGGCAGCATCCTGATAGTTTCTGTACGCTGTCCAAAACCTCCGTATCCTCCTTGTACTGTGGCAAGCAGAACTGAACACAATGTTAGAAGCAGGTAAAGCAAATTCAAAAGTAACTTTCAAAACTGAATTAATAACTACTTGAAAAAGAAAAACAAAATGCAGGTCAAATATAAAGGAAAACCAAATAAACTATCTAATATTGAAAAATAAGAATTCTTTAATCTGATTACCCTTGAACTGAGTGGCTTAGTGGGTCAATTCAAAGGGCAGAGTGAACCACATTACTGTGGATCTGGAGTCACATGTATATCAGACCAAGAAAGAACAACAGATTTCCTGCCCTACAGGACATTCATGACCTAGGTGTTTTTTTTATGACCATTGTTTCTATTACTGAGACTCGTTGTCCAAACCCACAGCTATTTAATTGAATTCAAATTCTCCCAGTTGCTATAGTGGAATTTGGACCAATATCTGCAGAGTGTAATGTTAATAGCCCAGTGACAACATCACTACTTCGCCATTTCCTGTCCATTTTGAAATGGAAGATATGATGCTTATAACAATGGGTGATCCATCTCTGGACTAACTATTGGATCCTGGTGGACTGGAGAGGGAAATTATACTCATTGGAATTATCAATTTGAATGGGTTGCAGAATGAACAAGTTATATTTGTGGTACAATACCATAACTGACTTTACACTTCATCCCAAAGCATGTTAAGTTGTCATAGGGATGATTGCGGGGATAGCAGTTCCCCTTGCTTAATTTAACTGGCTGTTTTTACATGGAAAGCTTTTCTATTTTTGGGTAGATACAGCTCTTTGAATTGGGAGAGCAAAACGAAATGAATGTTACTCAGGCCTACCCCTTAAGCAAAGGAAATATTAACATGGCTGAGGCCCAAGTTCAGTTTGGATTTCCTTTAGCTTGTATCTAGAGGCAGAATTCTGCTGAGGTCTTCTTTGAACCTTGATGCAGAAGGCAGTTAGCTTTGAAGCAGTTGGTTTAGTCAAAGTGATAGCATCTGCTAAGAGCTAGGAATTAACTGTTGGAGCATGGAGAGCCATTCAAAACCACGAGTGTTTAGTGTTTATGATGTTTAAATCCATTAGACAGATTGTAGCAAATCCTTAATGGTTGAGTGAGATATCCACAGTTGAGGTTTGAAAAGAATTTGGAGAATTTCAAAAGATAAATGAAGAATCTCCGTAAAATTTCATGCCTCTAAAATAGTTGAAACACTGATGTGGGATAAAAGTGAATTCCAGAATTTTGAGGCTTACTTCTTCCTTGGGTTGGTCCCAGGAGAAGTGCAAGTACCTTCAAGATTTAGTACTTTATTGTCTGTGATGGAGGGTGGGGAAAAAGCAGTGGGTTTAAAATGTAGAGTAGTAGACAGGAGACCTGTGACTAGCAGTGTGCAACAATGATCAGTGCTGGGTCCACTGCTTTTTGTCCTTTTTATATAAATGATTTGGATGTGAACGTAGGAGGTATGGTTAGTAAGTTTGCAGATGACACCGAAAATTGGTGTAGTGGCCAGTGAAGAAACTTACCTCAGTACAACAGGACTTTGATCTGATGGGCCAAGGTGTGGCAGATGGTGTTTAATCCACATAAATGTGAGGTGCTATATTTTGGAAGGGCAAATCAGGGCAGGACTTAGCAGTTAATGGTCAAGTCCTGGGGAGTATTGCCAAACAAAGGGATCTTGGATTGCAGATTGATAGTTCCTTGAAAGTGTAGTTGCAGGGTAGCGAAGGTGGTATTTAGTATGCTTGCTCTTATTGGTCAGTGTATGGAGTATAGGAGTTGGGAGGTCATGTTATGGCTGCACGGGGCAGTGGTTAGGCCACTTTTGAAATATTGCATTTGATTCTGGTCTCCCTGCCAAAGGAAAGATGTTGTTAAACTTGAAAGTGTTCAAAAAAGATTTGAGGATGTTGCTAGGGTTGGAGGATGTGAGCTCTCATAAGAGGCTGAATACGCTGGGGCTATTTTCCGTGGCGCTTTTGAGGCTGAGGGGTGACCTTTTTAAAGACGTATAAAAACATGAGGGGCATGGATATGGTGAATAGTCAAAGTCCTTCCCCCAGGGTACAGGAGTCCAAAACGAGAGGGCATAGGTTTAAGGTGAGAGGGGAACAATTTAAAAGGGACGTAAAGGGCTACTTTCTTGCACAGTGATGCGTATTTGGAATGAGCTGCCAGAGGATGTGGTGGAGAGTGGTACAATTACAACGTTTAAAAAGCATCTGGATGGCTATATGAATAGGAAGGGTTTAGAGGGATATGGACCATATGCTGGCAAATGGGACTGGATTAATTTAGGATATTTGGCCAGCATGGACGAGTTAGAGTGAAGGGTCAATTTCTGTGCTGCACGTCTCTGACTCTAGACTGAGTTTGTTGCATTAGTAATAACAATAGAGGAGATTAATAGTACTTTCTTTGTTTAATTGTTATGCAAGATTTGTTTATTTTTGTTTTAAAACGTGTAAAGTTTTTTTTTGTGGCACAATTCTGTAAGTTAGTTATGGACTATTTGGATTTTTCTTCTAAATATTGGAGGTCTTTAAGTATCTAACAATTGTCATTTTGTCATAGAATCATATAGCATGGAAACAGACCCTTCAGTCCATTGTCTAACACAACTACATTTGTACCTGTGGTACCAGCTCGTCCCTTGATGTTAATCATTCAAATGCCGGTTTTTTTCTCCCCTTAGTCTATTCTTATTTCAAAAATGTATTCAGTTCTCTATTAATGAAATCTTGAAATTAATGAATATTTAGCAGGCCTACGGGATATGCTATTATGTTCATTTAACTTTTCCTGATGCTTTCAATTGCATTGCAAATGTGTGCTGCACTAAATTGCATATCATGTAACTGGAAAAAATAAAAGTAAATCATGTGAGTCATTGTAAATCAAATTTGTCATTGTTGGATCGGGACGTGGTGTGGGTGGAAAATAGGTGAGGAGCAGGATGGCTCAGTGAATTATAGAATTAGGTTGGATCCGGGCCAGTTGAGAGAGATGAGGAACAGGGTGGGATAGTGATTTACAATATTTGCTTTTCAGCTCTTGCGTAAGGTAGAAGCTACCACAGATCTTAAAACGCCCCTCAGAGTTGAAGAAAAAAAGTGCTGTATGGAGTGAGTTTCAACCCATTATCTGGTGCAGATTACAAAACCAACAATATTAACAAAAGTACCTTTTGATGATATTGCTTGTGAGTGGAGATATTGAATAATATAGAAATGGACATTTAAAGGTCATTTTCAGCAAGGGACTGAAGACTGTTAACAAGTAATGTCGTGGCATGTTGACCAAAGTACAAATTGAATACAAACCAACCACAGAATTCATAAACACAGTGACCATACATTTAAAAAAATGTTGTTCCTTTAGCTCCTCAATCTCTTTCTCGCTTAAAAGTACAGCTCAATTTGAAATGTCGGAAACCAATTGCTTACCAATTCGAGATCCGGGGCAAACAAGAATGTTCCTTTGTTTCTGCAGGTTTTGAGAAATCATGTGATGGTGCGTGTTGGAGGAGGCTGGGATACACTTGAACATTATCTGAATAAACACGATCCCTGTAGATGTGCTTCACTAAGTAAGTGTGCGCCGAATGGTAGATCCTTTTTTGCCTTCTTTCCTCGTTTCCTTTTCAAACCGGAGTGTATTCTTCTTAATGGCTACAGTCACCTGATGTCATGTCGGCTTCTTGTTTATTATCATTTTCTCACCCCCAACTTTCTAATTTTTTTTTTTTGTAGAACTGTCCTGATAGCTCAACAGTTGGGATACACTGTGACATTTTGTTTTAAGGGGCTCATTTTATAGATCATGTCTTTTAAGTGTTCTTCAACATTCGACTATTTACAGGACTACAGAGTGCTTTCAGCCATTCAGTCTATCCTATAACTTATCCTCACAAGCCTCCTCTTTACCCCCTCCAATCAACCTTATCAACATATCTTTTCTATTCTTTTCTCTGTGCTTCTCCAGACACCTTTTTAAAATTCATTTATATTATTTACTTAAGCTGCACTTTGTGGTAGCAAATTTCACATTCTAACCACTGAGTAAAGCTGTTTATCCTGAATTTGTTGTCAGATTTATTAATGAGTATCTTGTAATTCTGATCTCACTTTCTAATGGAATTGTCTTCTCCACACATACCATGTGAAACACTTCCTTAATCTTAAGTTCTATAAAGTAACCTCCATCCCTGATCTCCATTCCAGAGGAAAGACCCCCCAACTCCCAGCCTTTGGAAAGATGTAAGACAATGATGTTTGGATTGTCCAAGTGAACAGATTCCAGCCGATCTATTTTCTTATTATTTCAGTTGATTTTCAAACAGACTCTGGATCCCACAATGGGGAAAGGCAGTATACAGAATAGCTGTACAGACAGATCACCTTGAATTTCCATATAGCTGAATAGTTGGACCATGGAATTTGTCCTAAATTCCCATTACTTAGAAGGGGTCGGGGATGGGAGTCAGCCAAGCCTCCTGCTCCTGAGTATTATCCACTGACTCCTGAAGGTGTGTGGGTATCATTGAAATCAAGACTAAGTTAGAGACCCTAAGGTGCATACTCATGTGCAAACACGTACAACTCAAATTGCTCGTCGAGTTTAACTTATTTTCCTATTATCAAGTCTCTGCTTGTCCTGAGGTCCGGCTTGCAAATTGGGCTGCGTATTTTTGAATTCTTGGATGCAGAATCAGTCAAGCTGCCCCAGCTTCATGTCACGTTGCGCTCCACACTCCTGACAGCCAAGGCAAGCAGTGATATTCTCTTGTGGTAACAAGACAGGCACTTTGAGGAGATTTCAATCCAACTGCTAGCAAAATTATGAAAACATTGTGAGCTATTCATTGTAATCTGTTTTTCTTAAGTGGAATTTCCCAATGCTCCACCCTTCTGCTGAGCATATTGTTTCATCCACAATACACATTGCCTCCCAGCAGTTCACCAGTAGCTGAGTTGTGCAGCTATTCCTCCCATTGATCTGGTGTGGAAAAGACTAGTGATCTGACCAGCTAAGGAGAGTTTGTAGTGAAACCTGATCCTGACCATTACGGGTGTCACTGGCCAGTGATTAGGGTGAGGACCTTAGCTGATTTTTCTTTAATGTATTGCCGCTCCCCCCCCCCCCCCCACCCCCAAAACTACAAATTGTTCTCCTGTTTCATCTCCAACCCAGCACCAATAGGAACTGCATTTGTGATTACCCTGGTCTCAGTGCTTAGTGTTATTCTGGGTAACGCATCTGTCTGTCAGAACTTTGGGTTTATTATTTACACTGAGTATTATGATATATTAATAACATTTTCATTGCTGTTCTGCTGTACCCCCACCCCCGTCCAAAACCCCAAGTTACATGCAAGAACTATGGACTGCATAGCCTTTACTAGTCCGTGCTATTTATGCTCCCAAACAGCCTCTTCTTCTCCTCCTCTTTGGAGGTTTATCCTATCTTCTCCAAGAACAGGATTAATGCTCAACCCCTCAAGTGCTCACAACCCACATCCTACTGTTGAGTACTTTACTGGTTGTTGCTGTGGTCAACCTCTGTCCCCACTCATTGATGCATGTTTAGAAACAAATATTTAAAAAAAGTATGTGTCAAAGTGGCAATGATTGGAATGTATGTCAGATCTAATATTGGCTGGCTACTGGACCAGATGGTGAAGGGAATAGGGCATTTTGGATATCAGTGGATTTGTAAACGATGGCACAGGTTCAGCAAAGTTTAGATCCCACTCTTGTCCATCTGTTTCTTGCTCCTGACTGTTCAGTGCTGTCTCGGGTGCCATTAGAAATTTTAAAAATATTTGGATAGGTGCATGGATGGGAAGGGTTTAGAGGGATATGGACCAAATGCGGGCAATTGGAACTATCTGAGTGGGCAGCATCTCAGCATGGACTAGTTTGGGCTGAAGGGCCTGTTTCCATGCTGTATAACTCTATAACTCTATGACTCTACCAATGTATAAATTTTGTATAAAAACCAAAAGAACTGCGGATGCTGTAAATCAGGAACAAAAACAAAGTTGCTGGAAAAGCTCAACAGGTCTGGCAGCATCTGTGGCGGAGAAAACGGAGTTAATGTTTCGGTTCTGAGGAAGGGTCACCGGATCCAAAACGTTAATTACGTTTTCTCCTCCACAGATGCTGCCAGACCTGTTGAGCTTTTCCAGCAACTTTGTTTTTGTTATAAATTTTGGGTGTTGTGCTGACACCAATCAAGTGTCATATCAGTCTCACGTTGCACCTGGAGTCCATCAACTAATATTTTAGAAATCTTATCAAATTCCCATAGGCAGGTATAGTTACAATGGAAGTACAAGTACAAACAAAATGAGTTGCCATCTTGCAGCTTAATCTGACTTTATTCTGTCAACTCAATGTCCTGAGTGTACTGAGCCATGCCCTACCCAAATGAGAACAAGTCAATCTTTCAGGATTTCCCACCTTAGTGTTAACATTAGAGGAGCAGTTACTCTTCCACCCCTCATGTCCTCCACCCCCATCCCATGAGAGGTGGAGGACTGTTGTTGGGAGCAGTTACTTACAATTAACCTGAGGAAGGGTCACCAGACCTGAAATGTTAACTCTGTTTTCTCCTTCACAGATGCTGCCAGACCTGCTGAGCTTTTCCAGCAACTTTGTTTTTGTTCCTGATTTACAGCATCCGCAGTTCTTTTGGTTTTTACTTACAATTAACCCTCCTCCCTGATGCTGCTGTGCACTGTCCACTCAGCAATTCGCAAATAGACCAAGCACAAGTCTCCCTCGGGTTTTCTCCTTCTCCACCCCCTCTTTACAGATCAGAGCCCCACTTCTGTGCAGTGCTTCCCAGTCTTGTTGGAGCTATCAGCTCCACTATGTAGAGCTTGTGGGAGAGAGGGAATGGGGTGATGCCTGTATCTCAAGACACAGTACATTGGCATTTCAGTGATCTATGTTACCACTTACCTTTCAAAGTGGAGTTTGTGACAACTCAATTCAGTGCACGTGTATCAGTCAAAACTTGGAACTGTTTGTATTTCATCAAATGTTAACTCTGATCAACAAATATAACCATAGTGTAAGGATCTTGATGAATAGCCTTATCAGGACCTGTCTGTTCTTCCTTCAATAAGAAACAAAACACACCATTCCTTATTGATTAAAAGAAAATTAGAAAGTCCGTTGTACAGTGTTTGGTGTTCATTTTTGGTGTTCTACAGACTGATAAAACACTCTGCCTTAAAGAGGTGACAAGTAGATCTGCAATTAAATCAGAGATAAAACAATTCTTAAATTTTTGTTTAGAATGCGAAGTTGTGTACAAAGTGCACAGGGTGTGAAATACCCCGCAATGGTAAGTGATTTGATAGGTGTTCATATAAATGTGTGTTTTGACCTTGAAAGATGGCCTAGCCTCTGCAGCTCTGTACAGCCTATAAAACGGGCCTGGCTAAAAAGATAGATGAAATGTAACTTCTGCACAATAGATGATAGCAATTTGATTGCTGTTCATTCAAATCAAACTGATTATGCCGTTTGTAATACATATCTAGGGCAACTGGGACTTGAATCCAAAATTCCTTGCTTAGAGGCAGGGACACTACCACTTAAAGCCTCAGTTGGACCAATCGCATCACATTTGGAATGTAGAGCCTTGGATTTTCCTTTAAATAAGAGGAAAAAAAAGGTTAGGGTTTAGGCTATCTCCTTGATAAGTTTTGAGTGGGGGGCGTTGGTCTGGTCCATAACATCTGAGCCACTAAGACCAGAGAAGTTCCAGGTTCATGCCCTTGTTTGTGTCAAATTTGCTTATCTTGCTAAAGCAGCAGTATGAGACATCATAATTTAACTTCTCCATTCTTTGGTTGTGGAAGGAAAAGTTGAGCAGGAGTCTCACTTTTGATGGTTAAATAATATCTTGTCCTGACACCTCGTCCTACAGTGACAGTGAGAAAAGGGGGCTTATGTAGAGTATAAAGACCTGTTGTAACAAATGCCATATTTCTCTGCTGTAGATTGTATGTTCTGTATCTCTGTTCTTTCTAGTCTTGATGATTGGGACACCCATTTGCTGGGCCTCCCACCTTCTCTTTGTTTGATTTATGCATCTGTATAATTCACATTCATCCTCTTGATTTTTGACAGCACACCGTCCCTCACCAAGATTTCCAAAGACAAACCTGAATACCAGTCCTCGTACCTCTAGAACTCCAAGCCCTGCACCATGCAACTTCCCTGAAAGTTCAAGCGGTCTGAAAGTGCTTGAGCTGCAGACGGATATAAAGGCACCATCTGCAGCAGAGTTTGTAACTGTAAAACAAAATGTAATACAACCTGATCGACCATTCAGTCCAACTAACGCAGCTAGCAAAACGACAACAGAAAGGCACCAGGATCTATCTGTCAGTGGACCAGAAAAAATCAACAAACGTCCCGTGCAATCACAAAGCTCATCTGTAGGAAGAACTCTTTTACCTCAACCACGCGATCGCTCAGTACCAAGACTTCCAAGTTCTAGAAGGTAACTATATTGATATTTTCATTATATAAGCTCTGATTTTGAACAATTTCATACACCTGGAGCCTTATCTATCAGTATAGTGAACTACATTGGGCTCTAACTCGGCAGCAGCTCAATTTTAAAATTCTTGACCTTGTTTCAAAATCTCTCCATGGTTTCACTCCTTATCTTCAAGCTTTTACAGCCAGACAAACCTCAGAACTCTTTGTCACAAATTCTGACCTCTCTTGTTTCCCATATTTTTAAAGGCTCCACCATTGTCAGCAGCCAAGCATCTAAGCTCTAATTCCTTCCCTATAACTCTGTACTGACCTGTTTTCATGGAAGATGTTCTTTTAAGGTCAACCGTTTCAACCAAACCCTTGGTCATTTATGCTACCGTCTTATGTGTCTCACTGTCACATTTTCTTTGACACTCTTGCAAAGTTCTTTAGGATGTTTTACTGTGGTAGTGGTATATTAAGCAGTTGTTGGTGTTGGAGGCCATTGGGATAATTTGGAGCTAAGTATGGTGGTGCTCAAAGGTCTTGTCAGATTGACCATAGTCTTTGGTGAAAGTCAATCTGATATCAAGAACAGGTTCACTATATATTTTGATCCAATTCTTCGAATTGCAGTCATGTTGAGTTTGGCATCACGTGGAAGCAAATGTGCCCAGTAAAAAAAAAAAAAAAATGGCATTTGGCTATCATGGACTGAATTTCCTTATTAGCTTCAAATTCTGAGAACAACTTACCTAGGAGTGCTTAATGCCATTTTAACAGGTTTACAGTGGAGTCAACTAGACCCCACAGATTCACTGTTTGAGACTCCCAAGCTGCATGTGTGTGACACAGACACGTCTATTTGAAATCTTTCTAGTTGAGTTCTCCATGACTAAAGGAGCCTTTAAAAGCTGAATATTTTCCCCACCAATTTCAATCCTGTCAGTACCAGAATTTTCAGTGCAGTTTTTGGTGATGGAGGGCAAAAACATTAAAAATTTACTCATAGATTCAGGCATTTACAGTACAGAACGAGGCCATTTGGCCCAGCATGTCCATGTTAGTCAATAAGATCTAACTAGTTCTATTTTCCAGGTTTTGGCCCATATCCCTGGAGATTCATGGCCACACAAGTGAATATCTAAATACTGCCCAAAATTACTTGAGTTTCTGACTTAACCACCCTATTCTGGCAGTGAGTTCCTGTCTCCCAGCCCCTTTAAGTGTGGGGAGAAAAATCTCCTCCTAGACTTCAACCTCTTACCTTTTTAAATCTATGTGCCCTGGTTATCAATTTCTCTACTAATGGGGGGAAAAGTACCTTCCTAGCCACCTTTTATCTATGCTCATGGTCTTTTACACCTCCTATCACATCCTCCCTAACCTTTGCTGCTCCCAGGAAAATAACCCCAGTCCTATCCAATCTTTCCTTGTAGCTTCGACCCTGCAGTTCTGGCAGCATCATGGTAAATCTCCTCTCCACCCCTTCTAGTATTATCTCATCCTTCCTGTAATGTGGTGACCACAGCTGCATGCAGTATACCACTTCCTTTCTCTTGTATTCAGTGCCTTAGCTAATAAATGGAAGTATTCCTATGCTGCCTTAACCTTGGAACCTCATCTAGGGTAGAAGTGACCTGTATAAGGACGACGGATTGTACCTGAATTGGAAGAGTCTGTTATACTGGCAGGGAGATTTGCTAGAGCTGTTCAGGAGGATTTAAACTAGTGGAGGGTGCTGGTGTTGGCACCTAGCAAGATAGTGAGGAAAGAGATCAATCTGAGACTGGTACAGTCGGGAAAAGGAGTAGGTCTAACACTCAGGGCAGGCAGGAATAAAGCCGAGAACAAGATAAGACTGATAACTTTAAGCTGCATTTATTACAATGCAAGAGGCCTAACAGGTAAGGCAAATGAGCTTTGGGCATGGTTGGGAACATGGGACTGGGATATCATAGCAATTAGAGACGTGGCTCCAGGATGGACAGGACTGCTGGCTTAATGTTCCAGGGTATTGATGCTATAGAAAGGGGAGCAGGGGAGCAAGGGAGGAGGGGAGTGGCGTTTTTGATTAATGATAACACTACAGCTGAACTTAGAGGATATTCCGGGGAATAGGTCCAGGGAAGTTATTTGGGTGGAACTGAGAAATAAGAAAGGGCTGCTCAGCTCATTGGGATTGTACTATAGAGCCACCAATGGTCAGCAGGAAATTAAGAAACAAATTTGTAAGGAGGTCTTGGTTATCTGTGAGAATAATACGATAGTTATGGTAGGGATTTTAATTTTCCAAACCTAGACTGGAACTGCCATAGTGTTAACGGTTTGGATGGAGAGGAATTTGTGTATCAGAAAATGTTCTAATTCCGTATGTGGATGGACCTGCTAGAGAAGGTGCAAAAGTTGACCTACTGTTGGGAAACAAGGCAGGGCAGGTGACTGAGGTTCCTGTCGGGGAGCACTTTGGCGCCAGCGACTATAATTATATTAGTTTTAAAATTGTGATGGAAAAGAATAGGCCGGATCTTTAAAGTTAATGTTCTAAATCGGAGGGATGCCAATTTTGATGATATTAGGCAACAACTTTCGAAAGTTGGTTGGGGGCAGATGCTTGCAGGTAAAGGGACAGCTGGAAAATGGGAAGCCTTCAAAAATGAGATAAACAGAGTCCAGAGACAGTATGTTCCATTTGGGGTGAAGGGCAAGGATGGTAGGTGTAGGGAATGCTGGATGACTAGAGAAACTGTCAGGTACAGACAGCAGAGATCGAGTGAATCCTTCAAAGCTTATAAAGGCAGTAGGAGAATACCTAAAGAGGGAAATCAGGAATAAAGGGGACATGAGATAGCTTTGCTAAAACTGTTAAGGAGAATCCAAAGGGATTCCATAAATACATCAAGGACAAATGGGTAACTAGGGAGAGCATAGGGCCCCTTAAAGATCAATTGGGCCACCTACGTGTGGAACCATAGGAGTTGGGGAACATACTAAATGAGTATTTTTATCAGTATTTACTGTGGTGAAGGGTACAGAAGATTGAGAATGTGGTGAAATAAATAGCGACATCATGAAAAATGTCTGTATTACAGAGGAGGAGGTGCTGAACATCTTAAAATGCATGAAGGTGGATAAATCCCCAGGACCTGATCAAGTGAACCACAGAACTCTGGGAAGCTAGGGAAGTGATTTGCTGGACCCCTTGCTGAGATATAAATATCATCTATAGCCAGAGGTGAGGTGTCAGAGACTGGAAGTTGGCTAATGTGGTGCTGTTGTTCTCGAAAGGTGGCAAGGGGAAAGCTAGGGAACTATAGATCAGTGAACCTGACATTGGTGATGGCCAAGTTGTCAGAGGGAATCCTGAGGGACAGGATTTACATGTATTTGGAAAGGCAAGGACTGATTAGGGATAGTCAACATGGCTTTGTGTGTGGGAAATAGTGTCTCACTAAATTGAGTTTTTTGAAGTAGTAATGAAGAGGATTGATGAAGGCAGAGAGATGGACGTGATCTTCATTAAGGTGTTCAACAAGATTCCTCATGGTAGACTGGTTAGCAAGGTTAGATGACACGGAATGGAGGGAGAACTAGCTATTTGGATAGAGAACTGGTTTGAAAATACAAGACGGAAGGTGGTTGTGGAGGGTTGCTTTTCAGACTGGAGACCTGTGACCAACTGTGTGCCACAAAGATCAGTGCTGGGTCCACTGCTTTTTGTCGTTATATAAATGATATGGATGTGAACATTGGAGGTATGGTGAGTAAGTTTGCAGATTGACACCAAAATTGGAGGTGTAGTGGACAGTAAAGAAGGTTACCTCTGAGAACAGTCCCGACCTGAAATGTCGGCTTTCCTGTTCGTCTGATGTTGTCTGGCCTGCTGCGTTCCTCCAGCTGCACACTGTGTTACCTCTACTTCAGAGTACAACTGGATCTTGATCAGATAGGCCAGTAGGCTGAGGATTGGCAGATGGAGTTTAATTTAGATAAATGTGAGGTGCTGCATTTTGGAAAAGCAAATCAGGGCAGGACTTATACACCTGATGGTAAGGCGCTGGTGAATGTTGCTGAACAGAGATCTTGGAGTGCTGGTTCATAGTTCCTTGAAGGTGGAGTCACAGGTAGATAGGATATGGTGGTGGTGTTTGGTATGCTTGCCTTTATTGGTCAGTGCATTGAGTATAGGATTTGGGAGGTCCTGTTGTGGCTGTACAGGATATGGGTAAGGCCACTTTTGGAATACTGTGTGCGATCCTGGTCTCCCTGCTATAGGAAGGATGTTGTGAAACTTGAAAGGATTCAGCAAAGATTGACAAGGATGTTGCCAGGGTTGGAGGGTTTGAGCCGTAGGGAGAGGCTGAATTGGATGGGGCTATTTTCCCTGGAGCATTGGAGGCTGAGGGGTGACCTTATAAAATCATGAGGGGCATGGATTGGGTAAATAGGCAAGGTCTTTACCCTAGGGTATGGGAGTCCAAAACAAAAGGGCATAGGTTTAAGGTGTGAGGGGGAAAAGTTTTAAAAGGGGCAAATTCTTCTCGCAGAGGGTGGTGCATGTATGGAATGAGCTGCCAGAAGTGGTGCTAGAGGCTGGTACAGTTACAACATTTAAAAGGCACCTGGATGCGTATTTGAAGAAGAAGGGTTTAGAGTGATATGGGCCAAATGCTGGCAAATGGGACTAGATTTAGATAAGATATCTGGTCGGCATGGATGAGTTGGATGGAAGGGTCTTGTTTCCGTGCTGTATTTCTCTGACTCTGACTCTGAGTCTGTGATTGCGAATTTATTAGCTCTCCCTGAATACCTTACCTTACGCTTTTTTTCTGAGTTGACTTCTATTTGCCACAGATGCATCTATTGATACCTTCCTGTATTTTACAACTGTCATCCTCCATTATTTACCACCACCTAATTTTTGTCACCTGCAAATCATTAATGTACACCACAAACAGGCCCCTGCTGAGCTCCACTAGAAACAAACTTTTAGTCATAGGAGCTTCCTTCTACCATTGC